ACGACCCTAATGCTAAGACAAAGCTGGCATGGACACATCTGGCTCTGAATTTTCTCACCTCAAAGCTACACATATGTATGTATAAGAATATAAATTGTTGCATTAGACAATGGGTCACATAGCAAAACCCAGACAGAGCTGATTACACGTCAACAGCGGCAAGATTTAGGAATACATTTCTATATTGAATGGAGATGTTTTCAAGTCTCTGATAAAGACATTCATAAATTCATCAATAAGAAGGCACACATTACATTTTTCATCGGCCTACTCAGGATGAATGCACAAGTACGCTCGTTTGTGTTTTCCAAAGTAGTAACAATCCTCTTGGAAGTTGGTGGACTGCACCACTGCCTTGTAATGGCTGACAGCATGGACCAGGCAGTTGGGGAAGCTTTTGCTCAAAGACAGAGCAACTGCCATCATGTTCCCCTTCAACTTCTCCTGCTCAATCTTCTCCTGGATCTGACTCTTGTTGATAGGCTTGGGGTTGACGCAGAAAGAGACCACAATCTTGATCTTGTTCTTGGTCAAAAGGTCAAACCAGTTGGCTCCCCCACTTCCATGGTACTTCTTTCCAGCTAGCCAGTTAAAAAAGAAAATGCGCTCCCGGTCATTAAAGGCCCTGATGGACCAGTTCACCCAGTCGTATTTCTTAGCAAGAGCATCCAAGATGGTGTTGGTGAAGTTCTGGTCGGCAGTTCCCGGGTTCTCCTGAACTAGATGCTCTATGTCCACCTTGGCTTGTGTGGCAAAGTTCTCTGTACAGTCATCCACAGCTGCTTTCATTCGCTTTTCCACTTCCTCCATTCGTCCTTGCCACTTCTTCACCATCTCCTCCCCAACTCCTCCTTCCTTGAGGGCAGCATAACCCATGACAGCGATAATGCCAACCACAAAAAGCTTCTTCAGTCGAGCACAGAAGTCCTCCACTGCTCTTCTGCTTCTCTGCTCTGTGTTAACTACAGTTTCCAGCATAGGGTCTCCTGAGGTGTTCTCCCCGGTGACAGAATTGTAGAGGGCATCCAAGTTTAAATCCATATCGGTGCTCTCATAATGGCTGATGAATTTCTCCATCTTTTTCTCCTTGAACTTTGGCTTGGCGTTGACAAAGACCTGAAACTTCTCATACTGGCTGATCATCTGTGCCTCTCGATCAAAGTTTTGCTTGTTCATCGACGTCCTTTGCAGCTCCAGGGCGAGTTTATCAACCTCATCTTGGATTCCTTCAAGTTTCTGGTTCACCATCTCGAATTGTTGAGTTAAGTAGCGAGCCTCTTTGCTGTCTGGGTTGCTGAGCAGCTCGGCCGAGGCCACGAACACGGCCTCCAAGACGGGGTGTAGCTGGCCCACGGTGGCAGCTAGCACCTCAGAGGCTTGCCCCATGATCTCCACACCTTTCTCTATCTTGTCCCTGTTGTTCAGGAGCCAGTCTGCCACACTGTTCATCTTTGAACTATATGTTTCACAGTAACTAATCTAAAAGGATTTCCAAAGGCTTTGCTGGTGCCTGAAAGGAGAAGAAACACGAAACCCTTGTGAAGTTCATTAATTTGAGACTTTTTAGCATTTCAGATAAAATATGGCTCAGCTTTTTCTTTATTTTAGCAAA